AGTGCAGCTTGCCATTGGGACACACTGGAAAACAAGAGAAGTGGTTTTGGTGGAATGGCATGCCAGGGTTTGTTGAGCAACTGCAGCATGGGACAGTGCAGCATCAATAGGCTGTGCATTTCTGTAGCAAGCGGAGTCTCTGCAGTGAGTCTTATTTAAATAATGTGAATGCTTGTAGGAATTCAAAGAAATTTGAAAAGAAGAAAATGGAAGAGGAATGTAAATCCTTGAAATCGGTAGCATACAGTGTTTTGACTTGCTGCAATTACTGATTCATTTTTACTCAATAAGAGCACCTCCAGATGATTTATTATTTTATTTTTAATTAATAAACCTTACAGCACTGTTAGCTCACCGTGCACTCGGGTGTTGTGCTGAGGGTCCCATGCAGGCCTGTGTGCAGCCACAGTGCTGCGTCCCTGTGCACAGTGCTCTGTGTTCAGCAGCCTCAGTGTCTGGCTGTGACCTTCAGCCTCCTCAGTGAGTCGCACTGCTTCTGTCTGAACGTGCCCTAAGCTTGATTTCATGAGAAGAAATGTAAAACTTCAGGAGTGATCAGAATGGGATATGGAATAGGGCAGCTGTGCAGGGAGCCTTGTGTATGGGCAGTTAATGACATCGCTCTGTTTCCTTTGCAAGAACTGTCTCTAGCTTGCAATCTCTTCTGCAAATCACAGTTGATGAGAAAACAAGAGTCCAGAATTATCATCATACTGTGGTTGGTGGCATGGCTGTGTGGTGTCGGATGTACCGTGGGGCTTTGCCAGAGACTGAGACAAATATTTTTTTAATTGCTTATTATCTGGCACACCCAGTTGCCAGCTGTATCCAGTATGCAGACTTGGGTATTGATTCCACAGCTGAAAGATTTAGGAAAAGAATGAATAATGTTTTTTCATGATTTTTTTTTAAAGCTGTAACTTGCCAAATAGCTTCATGCACCCAACCTGGTCCAGCACACCTTTGTGTTGCTTCACTCATCTAAGTTCCCCAACAGCTGTGGTTGGAAAGAATGTGAATATAGAGGTTGGTGCAGCTGAAAAGAGACCAAGGGTTAGGGAGGGGTCCAGGCCTGGTGGAAGCTGTTTGCTGACTTCCCTGAGGGTCTTCACCCGGACATTTACTTTTGCGAATGCTTGCTGTCAGTAGTGCAGGCTCTTTGCTGGGCTGGGGTTACCCGAAGCACCAGAGAGGTGCAGGGCTGAGCTCTGCTGCTGGAGGGAGCTTCCAGATCCGTCTGGATAAACAGTGGTGCTGTCCTGGGGAATGGGAGGGAAGTGGCTGCAAAAACAAAGCTCTCCTGGGAGAAGATGCTGTGGTATAAAGGAGATGGAAACTTGAACTGAAATAACTCATGTCTTTATGAGCTTGGTACCGTGCTTCCACTGAAACCCATAACCTTACTGCAAACTGCTTTTAATGGGGAATCTTACTTGCAGAATGGCTGGTGAGAGGGCTTTGGGGGGGGCGACCTTCAGAGATTAATGCAATGAAATGATTTATTTCCTCAAGGAATGGAGTTACTGAAGTGCAGTTTTCAGATTTTACCTATCAATGTCTGCGAGCTGAAACACAAAACCTTTCTGCTGCAACATCCCAGAAAAGCAGGCCTGCAGCTTTGTATTGCACCACCTGTGCATCAGCATGCTGCAGCACAGCTGCCTGGCATTACAGGATGTGAATGCACCAAGCTGATGCTCCTATTTTCCATCAATGCCTGTGTGTGTTGGCTCTGCACGAGCTGTTCTTTGAGCTGGCTCTGCTCAGGGTGTGCTGTAGTTGGGTGCAGTGCTGCTTCCTGCTCCTGTTCTTGTGTTTTCCGTTTTGATCCTGGTGGAAGGAGCGGCTCAGAATGGGCTTCTTGAAGCTGCTGCTTCAGCATCTGTTTTTGGCACTGGAAGGATTTAACCAAAGCAAACACTGCTTTAGTTTGGCCAGTTCTGCTGTCATGCAAGGCCTGGACGCATAATGGCTTTAACTTTGGAAATGAGCACAGGCTGCGAACTTGGCAAAGGCCGGGGCTTGGCCTTTGTGTGTGTGTGGTCATGTAACCAGGCTCACCAGCCTCACTCCCTGCCTCTTGAGGGACAGATCATGGCACCCTTGGTTTCTCATCCACTGCTCCTCCCCAGCTCTGCTCGGGCACCTTTCCCAGCTCCAGGCGCACACCCAGCCGTAATCCTCCCCTTCGAGCCCCCTTTTATAATGTTATCCCCGTTCCTTCCATTTAGATGTGGATGTTGTAATTACAGAGCACGGGATCCCAGTTTTTAGAGATCCGCGACCACAATAAAGTGAATTCAGAAACCAGACGAGTGGTTTCATTTACTGCCATTCTAGCTTATTTCCTCCCCCCACAACCGCTGTGCAATGCTGAAGACTTGGCAGCAACTGAAACCAGCTGTCAATAAGGTTTCCTACCCCCACACTTTTAAGTTAATGATGTTCTGAAATTAATGGTGCACTGGGTTAATTCCGTCATCTCGTTTTGATGGACAGTTGGTCTCTTGGAAGTGATGTGTGCCAACTGGCTTTGTTTGGAGGCAGTGCCCTGGAGAAGTGGATTCCCAAGTGCGAGGCACTGTGTGTGTGTGTGTGTGTGTATAAACATATAGAGAAAATATGGATTTTGTCCTGAAGTGTTTATGGCTTCATTTTGCCAGGTGTGTTGCAATTACCTAATGCACTTTCGGGCACATAAGCTCCTCGCTTTTAGGAGTGCCACATGTGGGATAGCAGCAGTGAGTTCTATAACTTTGCCCTTTTTTCTCCCCTATTGCAGTGTATGGACTTGTGACAGAAGCTTCTCCAATGTTCCCTTTTGCTGAGACTTTGGAAGGAAGCTCTGAGATCTGTCAGAGCGGTGTTGTCCCTGCTGCCACTGCCTATGCCTGGACAATGCTGGGGACATGGGGACAGCAGTGTCACCTTCCATCCCTCACAGGGAAGGAGCACTACCTCTGCAGGCTCTACCTGGCTTCTCTTGTGCAGAGGGGCTGCTGTGGCAGCATCATGCCTGCAGGTTTTGGAGCTGTATCCTGGAGGAAAATAGAAGCTGCCCCTGCACTAACCAAAAACTCTTCTCCCCCATCCTAAGCTGTGCAGTCCGGAGAATAAGAGATTCATAATAGAGATGAAAGTTGACATCTGGGTTCACTTTCTGCAGAGGATGTTCTCTGTGGAGAGCAGTGAGAGAAGCTGTTAACACCAGCTGCAGGCTGGGGATGCAGCCGTGAATTATCCTGCCTGTGGAAATCCCTTTGGTTGGAAGGGCCCTGTGGGGCTGGGCAGTGCCAGGATATGAGTGGTGGGTAGGACGACTTTTTGGTTGTAAACACGGATGCATTTTCCTAGCAAGCATTGGGAAATGTGGATTTTCTATCTGTTTTAAGACTATTTATTAAGAGGCTCCGTGCAAGAGGATGTGTTGGTGGGGAGGGATGCAGCTTCCTGTAGTTCAAACCACACTTTGCTGTGAGGTTTTGCTTTCCAGGAATACACTACGGATCTACACTAGAGCTAGAATTAATCAGTGTGACAAAGTGATGAAAACAACTTACCCCAAGTATTTGATAGTGTTTATGATTCCCAGCTGATATTTATAGCCTTTCCAAGCATGACATGAGATTTGTCTGTAATGACGAATTGTGGCTCATTAACAGTGCTTCTCTCGCCAACGAACAGGAATGGCTTCACACCTTTCTTTGATTTAGAAAATATGAATGGAACATACTTTGAACTTGCAAAACTTTGGGCATTAGCAATCTGCAGATCAAAAGTCGCTGCATGGACACCATCCCAAACTCTCTGTCAAATCCATATTTTCACTTGTTCTTATCTCTAGGTGACGTTTCAGGCTTCAGAGCACAAGGTAATGAGATAGACGGATATGCTTTGTAAGAAACACTACTGTTTATGTAAGCAAGGAAGAGAAGGAAAAACAGTCATTCAATTCCAAGCCACAATCTGAAGTTTAGGGGATTTAGGTACCTGCTTGCTTATACCTGTAAAAAAGCCCTGCAAGAAGCACTGCTGCTGTTAGCGTTCAGAGTTGGCCGTTTGGTTTGGGCTCGCTGGCGTTTACATCACAAACATCTTCAGAGAAGTAAATTCACAAGTGTTTGCCTGTCATCACATGACAAGTCCCGGAGCCTGGATTGATGTAATCAGCAACAGACACACGTCAGAAAACTGAATGTGGTTCGGAAGAATACAGTATTTTATTAATTCCTCATTTGGTGTGTGTCTGCGTGTGTTTTAAATGAGCCTCGGGGGGTTCTTTCCTTCTGCCAAGAAATAAGAATGGTTCGTGCGAGTTTGTTTCGGTGCACCACAACTGTGGTGGAGAGCAGTGATGCTGGGTTGCCCTTCATGACAGATAGCTTTATAAAGAGCTGTGTTTATTAACGAAGTGAAAACTTGCTGTGCATTTTAAAGTTACGGCTTTGTAGATGCTGGTAGACCCACGTGGGAACCGTTGTGAAATACGTAGCGAGCTGCTTCATGGATTTTGGGACTGTTCAAAGTAGGCATATGTAGGTATAAAGTTTGCACACCTGGATAAAACGTTTGCAGTAAGATTTTTCTGCAAACAGCGACGCATTGAGCTTTGTGGTGTTCACGGTGTGGGTGCAGCTGGGTTGCCTCCTGCTGGGAAGCACCTGGTGTGCCCTGTGCCGTGCAGCATGCAGCCTTGTAGCGCACTGAGCAGTTCATCACACCAAAGCAAAGGTGAGGCTTAATTTTCCTCCCCCCCATAAAAGGAGTTGAATTTGCTCTGGTGTTTCAGGCCACAGGGCAGCCAGAGCAACAGTTGGCCACATGGTGCCCTGGGCTGTGCGTTACGTGGGGCAGGCATACAGCCATCCTCGTTGGCAGATGGTTTGAAATCCAAAAGCTGTGTGAAGTTTGCACTCAAAGTAATTTGAGGCGTAAGTCCCTATGAGCAATTAACTGAGTTTTTAATTATTTTTGCTTTTTTTCTCCGTTTTGTTTTGCAGGTATTCCTTTGGTAAGTGAATAAAAACAAGAAAATTATCCGCAGTAATAATTTATTGGTGCATTTGTGGGTATGTAGTTTTTACTTAATCTTTCTCCCTCTGTCAATTGTTTACATTTAAGATTGTTTTTACTCTCTGCCTTTTATTTTTTTCCTCCTTGTATCCTCTTCAGGGATTTTCATCTTCTCCTTGTTCTGAATGGTCATGTTAACAAGTTTCAGTGCACTTACCGTGTGTGTACCAGTGAGGTGATGCTTCACCAAACGGAGAAGCAGAGGAGTATGGAGAACTGCTCTCCTGTCTGTGCATTTATGCTAATCACTCCAAATTGGTGTGGATATTTTAACTAGCTGGACTTTGCCATATGAATCCATACTTCTATTGTGTTGGCGAGTGCACCCATTGTAATTTTAACCCAAGTTATTCATCTTCTGTATGCTTCCTGCTTTCACCAGTGGTTTTACAAAAGCTGCCTTTCCCGAGTGGCATTCTGTGTTTTTGTCCTTTCTTTGTGTCCTGACTGGAGAGCCACCCTATGAGGGTTTCTGAAGCCCTTTGTACGCAGTAGGGTTTCTCCCTTCCTTGTTTTTGGCTTAGGGACTATTTCTGAGTGAGATGAATGAGATGTAAATCTCGAGCTACTTTTGTTAGAATACAGGAAAACCACAATATTTTTGTTATAATATAGCTGAAACAACAACACTGCCATCCATTGCTGTAGAAGTACATTAAATATTGCTGAGCTCTGGAAGCCTTCTTCTTTGGTAGCATCTACTTCAAAGCAGGATCTTTAAATAAATAAATAAATAAATAAATAAAAATTCCTGGAGAGATCTTTGTAAATGCTGACTGTTTCCTATTCCCCTCCAGGAAGCGTGCTTTTTTTTGATACATCTTAGGATAGATTTTGGTAGCCTCTATTAAAACTGCAGGCTGTCCCTATGAATTTTAAAGAACTCCGGTGTCTGGAAATAACAACAAGCTGTTAGGCCAAATGGGATCAGCTGGTATTGCCACAGGTTCTGCTCTTTGCTCTTACTGCTGTCAGGTAACAGTTATTAAAAACACACCTCGTATGGGGAATGGGCTGCAGGGCGCCGTGCTGGAGGTTCTGCAGTGCAGAGCACCAGCCATGTTGGGCTGTTTGCTTCTGAGAGGTACTCTGTGCTGGGAACCTGGAGTAGGCTCCAGCCTGAGGGATAGAGCTGGTCTGAAATTAGCTGAGCTGCAGGAATTTCTTGGCTGTACTTGTTGTCGTTCTACATTTGACTTTAGGTGCATCACAGTGTGTTTCATGAGCACGTGCTGAGTCCATCCCAACGGGGCTGTGCTGCTCAGGTGTGTGATGCTCCTGGCCAGGAGGTAGGAATGGCCCCTTCTCATACTGTTCTCTGGAATGCAGTGCTCTGGAGGTTGAGCATGGACTACTTGCTGGCTGCAGTGCTTGGAGATGCTTTGGTTCTTCCTCCTTCCTGAGGTGGGGCTGCTGGAGCCTTGAGGATGGATGGAGGTGCTGCCTGCCCCCAGCATAGCACACCTGCAGGCTGCTTCAGGTGAGCTGGGCTCCTATGGCAGCACTGTTTTCAGCATAAATCTCATCCTCAGAGCCAGGTTTGGTTCTGGCTGTTAGCTGCAGAACCTAGAGATCTGCTAGAGAATCAGCATAGCGGAATTTGTAAGTCACAGCCTAGAACAGTGATTGAGCACCTGATGGGGAGTCAGGGCCAACCTAGAGGAGCTCAGGTGTGTACAAAGCATTTGAGTGACCAGATGGGGTAGAGACAGGATCCACCCCTTCTCAGGCCTCATTTAAGGATTGGCAGTGGAGGCAAGGGTATCTTGCTGGAGATTCCTGTTTATCTGAGGCCTTGCAGAGGTAAGCAGCTTTTTTTTTCTTTTATTTCTGTGTCCGTGGCCATTGCATTTGAGTAAATTCTCACTTGCTGCAGCTTAGGACCTTGCTGCTTTGCTGCCATTGCTGTGTTTTCCATCATGTTACAACCAGCAAGGCCAGCTTGTTATTCTCCTTAAAGTCTTTGCTCTTCTCCTTAAAATTAAGGGCATCTTTTCTTCTGGTGTAGAATAAGACTAAAGCTGCTTCAGCCAATCTGTGGTGCTGACAACATGGCTACTTCTGGCCTTTTCTGAGCAAGGATGTGTTATTCTGGAGCAAGAGTTCCTGGTGATGCTTCCGTCTGAGATATCCTGAGGTTTTTCAACATGCAGGCCTGGTTTGTGCAGTGATTTATTACCTCTGCTCTCACAGAGACTTTGAAGAAGGTGATGCTCCTGTACGGGGTTTCTTGCCGTCTTTCTTTTGTTCTGCCTTTTATTACCTTAAGTAACTCCAGATATTCAAAAGACAGCTTGGCAGTGCAATGCATGGTCTGAAGTGCTGCAGCAGTGCTGCAGTGCTGTGGGATACAAGAAAAGAGCTGAGCAGAGCTGCAGAAAGGCTGCGAAGATCTCAGTTTGTTGCAGGCTGCCGTGTCTCCCAGTAGAGCAGCAATGCAGGTGTGGTGTGGGAAAGTGATGCAACCATTTGGGGAGGTTCTGATTCCACGTTGCTGTGTCTGCAGTCATCAGATATCTCTCAGAGCAGCAGTCTGAATTCCCAGTAAGGAACATGGACAAAAAAATCAGAAATGTGCCTGTTTACCTTTGGGCTATCAATGGGCTCATTAAATAGGAAGGATTGGGAAACAGCTGATCTTATTTGACTCTTGATGCACAAAAGTGTCCTATTTGGAGCCAAAGCAAATGTTTCCTTGGGGATGGTTCCAGAGAGCCTCACTTCTACACTCTGTGCAGGCCAACTGTATGGCTAGAATTGGAGACTTTTTAAGCAAAAGTGCTTTTTTCTTCTTGCAGTGAAATATCTTGTTAATCTTGGTGTGGAGAGAAGACAATTAGAGGTTCTCTGAACGTCGAGTTAAACTCCAATTTTTTTCTATAATCTCTAAACATGGAATAAGCAAATAGTTTAGTCCCTATCTCTGCCTGCTCCCAAATTTTACGTGGCATCTATTATCTCAAAATTTAAGCTGAAGTGTGTTTTGATTAGAGGTAGAATAAAAAGTTGAGAGCGGAGTGTATGTAATTCTCCATTACTTGTTAAATCCTCACTCTGTACTTCAATGCAAATTGTTCCGAAGAGAATTTTCTTTTAAAAGGTCTTCAGGGATCTTGAATTTTAGATGTGCATTGACATAAAATGAAATGTTAGAGTGCACAGCTGGGGTTCTGGCTCTCGCAGCGTGAGACTGAGATGTTCTCCTTTGTGAGTGTGCGTTTCCAAGGCAGGGGTGAAGTTTTCCTGTGAGTTGCACTGCATCGTGAGCAGAGAAGTGGCTGCAGAGGAAAACGAGAGTTGGGAGCACTTGGGGCAAACCTCGCTTGTGCAGGGCTAAAACTTAACTTACAGGGCATGAAGATGGGTAAGCATGGGCTGAGCTGTGCCCTAAGCGAAGCCGCTCATGCCTGCAGACCCATCTGCAGTGCCTGCTGGTGGGGCTGAGATGACCCAAGCATCACGGTGAGCAAATTCACAGGGATGCAGAACGCTCCCTGGTCTTGTGGCATTCCGAGAGAATTTGGCTTGATGGCCGCACGAGGCCTCACTGAGAGCTGGGGAGCAGCAATGAGTTGGGCACCCAGATAGCTGCAGTGCTGCTCCTCGTCCTTCCCTGCTGCGAGGTGAGGGCTGGGCTGGCTTAGTGACTGTTCCTGTTCCTGGCCATTACCGTGATCTGCTGTTCCTATTTCTCGTGTAAGAGTGGGAAACTTTTCTCTCTGTCTTATTAAATCTATTTTTCAAGCTGTCACTTAACCAGGTCTAGTGACAGAGTCGGATGTTTATGTGGCCCTGGACACTTGAACTCTGGTGTTTTCAATCACAACAGCACCTTTTGCCAGCCGTTGTGAATTAAATACTCCTCGTGACCTTTTACCCTCGCCGCTCTTAAATTCATGCTTTAAAAACAGCTTAATGAGGGGTTTACTGGCCCAATTGGAAGTTTTTATTAAAACCTATTAGTGTGCTGGAGTAGCCTGCCTGAAGGAAACGATTAGCCCAAAGCAACTAAACTCGGAGCTGGCCCCTAGTCACACCAGGTTTTCCCTAAACTGTTTCCAGACCCACGTTAACCCTAACACTGCAGCCTGCATGGTATTCATATCCTCTGCTTTAATTTATAGCTTGTCTGATTCTCTCCCCAGCCTTTCTCCATGTTCGCGAGAGCGTTTTGTTTTAATGTAATTAGACCTGCATTAAAGGGCAGCGTGCCTTCATCCGGGCCTCTCTTGTTTGGGAACCTCAATTAAGCAGGAATCCTCCTCCCAGGTCTGTGCATGAGTGTTGGAGCTGGGAGATGCTCTGAGACCCTGGGAGAGCTTCATGTGCAGAGCATCCTCTGGTGATGCTGGGGATTGCAGTGGGTAATGCAGAAGGTACACACCTCTGGATGGCACGTGGGAGCAAGAGTGGAATCCTGCTGGCTTCTGCTGCTGGTTTCCCCTTGGAGCCATCACATAAGCTCCAAGTCTGGCTTCATTTTCTGAGCTGGGCCAGTGGTGCTTGCCTGTTTTAAATATACATTTACAATGCTACTGAAGCTCTGCAGCTATTGTCTGAGTGTTCTCGGGTGGATGTGCAGCTGAGGGAATATCAGGCAGGACTTCAGCTGAAACAGCTCATTAAAGTTGCTGCAGCAAGTCCTATGCTGTAGAAATGCAGAGCAGCTGTCACCTTTGTGCACGTTCCTCTGCACTCCTGTGCTGCCCTACTCATCTGGGTTCGTGCAGTGCCCTCTCCCCAAAAAACATGGTGTCTTGGAGAAAGGACCTCCAATTCTTTTCATAGATGTCTTTTTGGTGGGGTATCTTGTCTGTTTGTGGATGTCAGCAGCTGCTGATCCAACAGCATGAAATAGTGCACAATTTCTAATCTGCACTTAATGTTTTACTGCTGGGTTTGTGTTGCCTGATTGCTGCAGTGGCTGTGCTGGTGTTC